CTTCCAGAAAGTAGGATATAACAAATTCCTTTTCACAAAATCTATCCAGTTTTAGTTGGCACCATGCGCACTCATCAAAAATATTTTCAGACCATTTTAATTGTTAATAACTGTAGGCCCAAGACCTGCCTTAATTTTGAATGATTAAAACTAGAATAATTTATTTTTCTCTATCCTCTCCCTAAAGAACTGGAAGCACAGGTAGCTGAAGATGTTGAACAATTTGGTTGTGCATTTCAGTGTCAACTAGTCCCTTTGATATGTACAAAAGTAAATTAGCCAACTTACTAAAGTTGCATGGTATATTTTTGGTAGTAGAAAACATAAACATACCAGTTGGTACATTCGAAGCCAAATTTGACATGAGTAGTATGACAATAGCAAGAACTGCTATCCCAGAAACATGGTTGATCTTTGAATGGGGCTCCATCAAGTCCCAAATTTTGCTTGGAATTCCAGTTTTGTTGAAACCATCGACTGTGATAAACATTCCGCAAAAGAAAATTAAAAGCGAATAGGATACCTGATCAGAAAATGGAAAACAAAATTAAACCACTTCTATATACATAACATAATCTTCAATTCTGAAATACCACTGAAATCAGAAACAGAAAATGAAATGGCATTGCTATCGTAGAAATTTACCTTTTCTAGGCAAGGTTGAGCATCCCTAAAATCAAGAACCACAAGAGCAAGGGCCGCTGTCAGTGCTGTCCAGGACAAGTTGAGACCCATAAGCAAAGCAACCAGCATGCCAATGGTAACAATGTAAACACACAATTTCCATAACATCCTTTTCCACTTTGTAGTCAAATTTTCTTTCGCTTCTGACACCTGTGTAGACAATTCCTCTCTCACTCTATTCATTGATACAACCCTCTTTGAAGGGCCAGTTTCCTCCACTTTTGGGGAGAATCCATCATTTATCCCCTCTTTTGAAACATTTGAGATCCTTCCAGACTCAAATCCATCGCTTGATACCCTGTGGATTTCACTCTTGGCTGAACTTGTTCGGTTCCTGAGGGTAACATCAACATGAGGCACAGTTCCATTCATATTGGGAGAGCCTTGCATGTTTATAGCTTCCAACCTTGAGTTCCATTCTTGAGAATTTATGGATGAAAGATGTGACATTGTGACAGGTGAAAACCGATGAGAAACAACATCCTCATCTCCAACCATTTCACTGGTTGCATCTTCTTCATCCTTCTGAGTAGACAACACCCTCCAATACATACATATAAGAAGTAAAGCATTCACAACAATTCCTATGAGCATTGCAGGAAGAACTCCAAAAAGAAATTCCCCAAAAGGAATTTTACTCTGAACTGCTATAACCAGGTTTTGAGGATTTCCAATAGGAGTTGCTGCAGACCCAATATTTGCACTAGAGGCAAGAGCAAGCAGGAAAGGATGAGGTGGTAGATTATGTTGCCTTGCAATTTTCATTACAAATTCAGTCAAAACCACACAGCAAGTGTCATTGGTGAAAAAAGCGCTTGAAATTGCAGAAATCACACAGATCCGACAAATCAGGTCCTTAGCTCCTTTACTCTTCCATGAAAGCAACTTCCCCAAATACTTGAACATATCTGCTCTTTCAAGATAGACAGTAACAACCATTGTTGCAAACAAAAGACCAAGGATTGGGAGATCAATTGCAGCATAAGCTTGATCTGGGGTTATGACTCTAAATAAGACCATAAGCGTGGCTCCCAGCAGGGACCCTGCAGTCCTCCCAACTGGTAGAAAAGGGACAGAAGGGAAAACTGCCAGTATCCAGAAGATTCCAAAGGCAGTTGAGCCTAGAACCACCTTAACAGTAGAAGCCATCACCATTTTGGAAGCTCAATATTAGTACCAGTCTTGCCTGAATTTCTAAGCCTCAAAGTTCTTTTTATATTCCCAGAAAACTAGCTCATATCAGCTTCCTCAACAAAAGAATGCGCTGATCAGATAAACTGAATCCGTAATTCTTATTTCTTATGAAGTAAATATACAACCTTGCAAAACTATAAAAAATTCAATGCGAGAGCAAGAATCTAAGAACAGCTCATTTTGGAAATTTCATTGAACAGTACAGAAAACAAACAGTTGGGGGCCAAATGGTGCATTACATAAACATAAACAGTGGCAAAGAAAGTCCATGCAAATTTCTTGCAAATTAAGAAAGAACACAGGGTTGAAAAGATTGTTAAGTAAATAGAATTCGTAACCTAATGTGATGTGATTGAAAGTGATGAATTCAATTCCTACTTTTGACGAAACAGACTTCTTTTCCCTGTCATGTTATATAATCACAAACAAGAATTAGAGGAAAGAAATATAGTTGTAAAATAGATAGTTCAATGGCCGTTTCCATGGGTTGCCCCTATTTGGGTTTTCATAATCTTACCGTTTTCAAAGTTCAAAACCTTTATATTGCTAAGTAGTTCACCTTTCAATGTACCCAAAGAAAAAAAAAATTCTTACCATTTTCAAAGTTATTAAAATTGAATCCCCATTTAAGAAAAGAAATGTTACATTCATAATAGCCATCTCATTCAGAATCAGGGTCAAATGCTAAACACCTAGAACCAACAGATTCATATGAGACACTGAAACCAGAAATGAAACTGAAAACTAGCAATCACCACGAAAGAAGATAACCAGAACCCAAGATTCAACCATCTTCATATTGGAAATTTACACCCATTTCAGTCAATTCCAAGCGGATTCTCAATCCAATTCAACATACTAAGATGAAAAGAATCTCTTCTCACAAACAAGTGAATATCCTTCCATCAACCAAAAAACCAAACTTTTAAAATTCAAACTCACCTAATCCAGAAGATAGATGTACACGAGATGAGCTTTCCACTTTCCAGAGCCTCTTTGCGTATAAGTTAGCTACTTTCTAAAGGACCCAGAATAGAAGTGGAGGGATGAGACCGAAAAAAGAACTCCTTTTTCAATTTCAGCAAAGGAGAGAAGTGGATCATCACGCGCACAGAAACAGCAAATGAGTTGCGGGGTTTAGTTTTTTTATAGCATTCGATAGAAGTGTCTAATCACATTCACACCTCGTCTACACATGTTTTCTCGTGAACTTATATTTCGGTGATAATAAATTGTGTTAACTCTCTTGACTCTTCCCAAGAATCCAAAGAACAAAAGGTCATTTCAGGGCAAATTGTACATAATTTTTTTTCTGTAATTTATGTTGCATTAGGTGGAAGAAGCCATTGTTAACAGTTTTTTTTTTTGTTTTTGTGGCTGTGGCTTTGACTTCAGATATGATCTCAACTGCGCGAAAGACAGACATCCTCTATTATTTTGCATATAGAAGACTTTTCTTTCTCCCTTCCCCAGATGATTGCCAACATATACACGTGCATAAAGACAAGGTAATCAATTTTTGTTTCTCCAATTGTTTAACTTGAAAATTACTAATGTTAACGTCTAATTTACATCACAAAATGGCAAGACCATGAAGTGCTTGCGTTTTTTATATTACAAAAAGAAGTTAGAGTTTTCAATAGCTAGAATTTTGGTTTTGAAGTGAGGTTTTATTAATTTTGAACTTTTACTCATAATAAATATTTAAGTATTATAGGCAAAAGGTTAAGGTTGTATACATGTCTTATCTTAAGTCTCAAAAGTTATAATAAAAAAAAAATTAGAAGTCGATAAAATTGCTTTATCCTTAAAAATTTAGAAAAAAAAAAATTAATTAAAGTTTAGAAAGTTGTCCACTCCTAGGTCTTAAAAATTAAAAAAAATTTATTTAAACATGAATATATTTCATACCCTAAAGCTACCCTTGATCATAAAGCAAAAACTTTCTTTTTTTTTAATTTCTTATAACAAAAATATATTTTGTAGTTGTTCAGAATGTGTTAGATTGCAAAATATAAATCCTTGGATAAAAAGCATGCTGCTTGATAGTAAGCATGTTGCTTGATATTAAAAATCTTTCTTCATCTAAAGGTATTTACTTTACAATCCGATATAATCTAAATTACAAAATAATTAACTATTTCTTATAATTTGTTATCCATTTTATTCCAATAGGTAGAACAAAAGCCAACCCCCTAACACCTTCATTTAGAGTTAGGTCCTTTGCTATTTTCCCACAAAATTAAATTAACAATACATATTATTAGAACCATGATCAAAGTATATTTTTATTACAAATACAATTTGCATGATCACTACAATGATTATGCATGATTCTACAGATTTTGAGAAAATAATCATCAACTCATTTTTCATTAATCACCAACCATATCCATCACGAACTAAAATAATTTGATCATCATTAACAAGTTGAAAATACTAAAGACATATAAACCAAACGTCGAACCTAAAATGATTCAGAAGTTGCATTACATACCCACGAGACATCTACATGTATATTGGCATTATTGAAGCTGTGACCCTACTTTTCCCAGAAAACCAAATATTTTTATCCAGGGAAGGTGGAGAGTTCCATGATTTCGATCCTTTTTTGGTTCAACTTCCCTACAAAAGAGACCTTTTCTTTCCTGTTTTTAACGTTGTTAATTAATCAATTAATTGATTAATTGATTCATCAATATTTCATAATTTTAAGGAAAAAAAAAAAAAACACAAATTGGTGTTGGGTGGAAACGGAACATTTATAGATTGATTAAGATATTAGTGTATTTATACATCAACGAATGGAACATCTAGTTCCAATTGTTTTTGTCTCCATTTTCTATAATAAAAAACATTATATTAACTGAAAATTCGTTAATTAATTATCCGTGTTGTCTGTCATTATAAGTACATTCGAAAAGTTTTCTAAGCTAGAAGTACCAGGTTAGAGCTTATTTTTTATTTTTTATTTTTTCAAAATCTTGAGACTAGAAAAAGAATAAAAATGAAGAGAAATATGAGAAATGGAGCACGAACTATTTCTCAGGACATTCTATATAAAAATCTAAATGAACTAAAATGTACACTCTTATATAAACCTAAGTCAATCCTAAAATTGCTTCAATTTGAGGAGTATAATAACCACGCATTCTATCAGAGCCAATTCTTTTTATAAAAGAGAGTAAGGATAAATTTTTAAAAAGATGAGATTGCCAGCGTCGATTCAAATAAGGGTATATTCCCCATACTCTATTATCTCGAAAGTTACAATTTTATTGTTTATAGT